CATAAATACTTATTTTTCACTGACCAAAACGGCTTACCTTTACAACGGTGGGTCCTTGAACTCGTTTTTCACGAGAAAAAAAAATGCACAAGTAAACACCAAAAAATGCACGTTTACTTTAAAGAAGTCTGTGATCTTTTTTTTGACGCGAGCAGCACAAATTTTGCAGCGCGAAGGCCTCCAGCTCACCACAATCCTGTGGTGCGACTTGGTTCTTTGGTCACAACAGCCTGCTTTTTGCCTTCCAGTTGCCGAAGAATATCCATTGTCTCGCTTAGTGAAAAGTGCTTCCGCTTCTTCGTCGCAAACAGAGATGAACTCATTTGTAGTATCACCGCAGCGCGAACGCAGACTTGCTTTGCGGACGCGATAACTAAATACCGAAAAGAGATGAACGCGACTGAAAAAACAAGGTCTCCAAAGAAAAACCCGAAGTGTCACGACTGTCATCGCCTCTTTCGAAGTAAAAAAAAGTGCTAGAAAAGAAAATTCCTCGCGTTTCGTTTTCTGCTCTCTCGCTGTCTCAGGTTTTCCGCGCCCATGCTTCCTGCTCCGCAACTCAAACTTTGCCTCGCTGACCTTGCCCTCCCATGTTGCCCTCCCATGTTGCCCTCACCTCTGCGCTCGCTTGTAAACCTGCAGCGTCGGCGTTTCAACAGAAAGAAAGAAAAGAAAGTCGTCCTTTCGCTTTGTCCTCTGCTTGTGAACCGCTCTGGTAGTCACGATGGATTTCAGAAAGTAAGTTTGTAGTACTGAGGTGTTGATGTAATGCGGAACTAAATTAACGCTAGTTATTCTGAAAAGTTCGGTATGCTGAAGTACATAGTAGTGAAATAATTTTACATTGAAACTATTAGCAGTCAGCGCGGGATTTTTAAAAAATTTGTTAATCTGAAAAGTTTGTTAATGGGGGGTTTGTTCTACCGAGATTTCACTGCAGTTGCTCTGTCCATTGTCTAAACCGGGCTCCTGAATAAGGAGAGGAACTTCGTAGCGTTCTCCTACTTTGGAAATGCCCCTTTCGAATAGTTCGAGGGCCATGCTGCTGCCTTAGCTGCTGTCAGGATCATCCTGAATTCCGAGAGAGTCGAGTCGCCAAAAGTTAGTGATTCCCGCCTCCAAGTTGGCATCGCGTTTGGAGGCACCTTCGATAGCAATAAAGGGGAAGGTTGCACGCGCGCCCGATCTTTGGGTTAAGTTGCGTAGGAAACCCTGTAGATCCGATCCTATTAGTACACTTATGTCATCCTCGCGTAATGTCATCGCGTCTGGATGTGCATTGGCGGGGAGCATCCCTTTCCATATCATGGTTACGATTTCGCCGTCGGATGGCAGACTTGTCACCGGGCTGATTTCTGGTATCGCCAAAGCTTCTATTGTCTCGTTGCTGCTGTGTTGGCTCCGCAACGTCACGTCAATGCAACGCGCTAACAGGTGAAAGTCGCGGGCCGTTTCGTTTGCCCGAAGGTAAACAAGGTGAGGCGCTCAGTGCCTCGAACAGGACATTTCAAATTTCGAGCAATGTCCTGCCGAATGAACGAACGCTGACTTCCTGTGTCTAGCAGGAACCGAACCAGAACTGTTTCGCCGGTGTAATAGCCCATGCTCTGCCAGTCTGCAGCAGTACAGGCGTCAAACCAGTGCCGGTAGTTGAGACGGACGTCACCCGAGAATTGAGTGGTTGTAGGCGCTGGTGCAGAATCTTGTTGCACCAGCGTGTTCTTGGCATGCTGTGAGTGGTTCGCTCCATTGTTAATGTCGCACAGAGATGTTAGGTGTTGCCCCGTGCATCGGCGGCCTTGCAGGGTTCTGGCAGAGCGGCAATCATTTGCGAAATGGTTGCGTTTACCGCAGCGAAAACGTAGCTTCTCTTGGTGAAGCCTCTTCTGGATATCTTCCAGAGGAAAACGTTTGGAGCAATCCTGAAGGGTGTGTTCGGGAGAGGTGCACAGGACGCAGGGATGCGAGTATGGGGATCGAAGTTCAGCTGAAAAGGCTGCAGCAGAGGGCAAGGGTGGCTGACGGATCAGCAAGTCTCGCTGCGGAGGCCTCCGGCTTGTAGCTGATATCAGTTGCTGGAGACCGCTTTCCTCCTGTACCTCTACTTGTACTTTGATAAAGCTCAGGAGGTCTTTCACTTGTGACTGGGCTTCCCGAGATGCTGTGGCGTTCTCAGTTAGCATGGCTTTCTTTTGCCGTTGGCGACATAGTATACCGAGGTCCGGAAGTAATGCTTTTAAGAGATCACGCCGCAGCACGGTGGCATTTTCGCCTGGAGATACTTTGAGACCTTCCAGGGCGTTGATGCGGAATGTGGGTTCATCATGTAGATTTCTTAACAGAGTTACGCCTGCGGAACTTTGGACTGGTGCGATTGACAGCAAACTGTCGAGATGGTCGTCGACTAGCATGTCGTGACAACCGAAGCGGTCTGACAGGATCTGAATAGCGACGTCATAGTTCACTTTGGCCAGGCGAATACCTTGAATGGCTGCCTTCGCTGCCCCAGTCAGGTATATCAATAGGTATTGTAACTTGTCAATTTTCGGTATCCAGTCGTCGTTGTGGATACTGGCTTGAAACTGGTCCCAAAATCCTTGCCAGTCGCGTCGTTCGCCTTAGAAACTTGGTATGTGCATGCAGCTTGGGCAGTGCGAGGCGAGACGGCGTTGTGGGCGTCGGAAGGCCTGGCGAAGGTAAGGTTGCGGTTTGCTGCGATGTGCCAGCGAGGGGGTCACCGAGTGAAGCGGTTGTGACGTCGACGTATGCGGGTGGGGTTGGCGACTGTGGCTTGGTTGCGCGTCGAACCCTTCCTTTAGCGCAGATGACCCGATCTTCGTATTCGCTTGCGGTGGTCAAGTCTACCTCAAGGTCCTTACCGTGCAGCGTAGCTTGAATATCCTTGTCGAAGGTGATGAAGTAGGTGTGTTTCGCCACAATGATGTCGATGAGCTCCTGGAGCCTGTGAGCAGGGGTCGTCGAGTCTGCCAGTAGGGTGTCGAGAGTCGATATTGCCTTGGTGATGGCTGTCCGGTAGAAGCCACGCTGTACTCGGAGTTGATGTATTGTCGAAAATTGGAGGGCCAGACGATCGGGTGGGTTTCAGCACCAGAACGAAGTGTGAGAAAAGAAGGGGACCCGGACCCAATTTTCTAGCTGTGTTGAAGGTCGAAGGATCAACTGAGCGAGCCAGCACCCATGGCTCCTGCCCGCCGCCCCTTCTTTCTTCTTTATTTACAACAATCCCAATATCAGTGACACCATCTGGTTTTATAGTATTCGGTTTCTCTGTTTTTTTTATGTATAATACAAGAAAAGGCCATAAATATGCACAAGTACAACTTTGTGATTTTGTAATAAACTGTAAGTTGTGCCACTATCTTGAGGACTAGACTGTGGGGTAGTTCAGTGTTGCTTCTACATTATTTTTGGCACACAAAGCTTCCGAAGTATTCTGCCAGTCTAGTTACACAGTTTAAACTTTCGTGTACTGTAGTAGTCAAGATACAAGGAAGCCAAAACATATTATGCGTACCACTACTGTACACAGCAATAGAGCAGTTGGAAAATTGAAAAGGAAAGTGAGGAATCTGTGCATATGCCTTTAGATGGAGTGTTTACAAAATATAAAAATGAAGAAGCAGTAAATATTAAAGTAAAAAGAAACCATGAGGTACAAGTTTGTTACAAGACCAATTATTTTTAGACTCCTTTCTATCTGAAGCCAAATGGTGATCCGGATCGTCTGAGATCTTTTAACTGCTAAATAATACTAAAAGTCAATTGCAACAGTTCTTTTTTTTTTTCTTTTTGCTAACTTTCAACTGCATTATACAGGTAAACGTCCATCTCAGTAGTGTGGGCAATGGCAATTTGTCTACCACCAATAAATTCTGGCAGATCCCCAGCATTGTGGGAGTCTATTTCATGTGGAGCAGTTTAGGCTTTGGAGCCAAGTCTGAGCCAAAGTGGATCGATGTGTTCAGAGTTTTTAAACATAGCTATGTGCGTATTACGGGTTTACCAGGAACGTTTACTGCTCAGGCAAGTAAAGGGTAGGTTATGGTCTGATTAAAGTAGACACTCAACTGACAACTGCTAAGTTACTTATATCTAAAGTGTGACCAGCATTCATTGGTGTATTATTGCTGCAGGGACAAGGAATGCTAGACTACGGCTTGCTGAAATGTAGTACACGTGTTATGTTTACAACATAATTATGTAGGTAGCCACTGCCAGCACTATGTACTTAAGCACCACCACAAGATATTTTAGCCTACCTTTTGGTGCAATGCAATGCAGCATCTTTTGTCAGCATTTGAATGCTACATCAAAATTGTAAACTCTATACCCCCCCCCCCCCCCTTCCAGTCATGTGCACCGCAAATGACTGGAGGAAAAAGTTTCCATACGTACACAACAGCCATGTGAAATTATTCGTGTCATAACGTCATTATGTCCTTTCGCAACGTTGGCATCTTCACACACACGTCCGCACGCACACGCACAAAGGGGTTTCACAATTTAGTTATGTGTGTGTTTGAGTGTACCATGTCAAGTAGGCAGCTAGATAGCTGGAATTCGCTGGAATTTTTACACCCCACAACTATGACACACATATGAAGTGTATGCCGGTCTCTCTCTATTTGGCCCCTTTAAAATGTGCCCATCACGGCCAGGAAATAGAACCCATGTGCTCGATCTTGGCAGCAATACATCGGACCAAATATGCTACCATTACAGTTCGCGTAGCCTGTCAGAGTGCTCGATGCAATTTCTCAATTTTGAGGTCTTTGGGCAGAGAGAATGCATGAGCACTTATCAGGCTACCTGTTGTGTAAAGAAAAAAGTGTATTGCACTGCTTCTCATGTTTTCACTGTAGCATCAGCAGCTCGAGGAAAGTGCATTCATAGGAAGAGAGCCCTGGTTATTATGTGCTGGAGCTGTGTGAAATGAGAAGCTTGTTACGGCAAATATGCTTTCATGCTTTTGTTTGCAGTGGACCTGTGTGCACGACATCCAAGAACACCCGCCGCAAGAGAGTGCAGCTGGTAGTAGCGCCTGCGAAGACAGAAATTGGCCCGACACAGACTTTGAGATCGAGGAGGAAATTCTAGTTGGAGGAGGCTTGGCTGGCGGTGAAGACAGGGGACAGCAGCAGCCGGGTATTGAGCAACTGTGGGATGGCAACTGGGAGCAGCTGTGGGCGACACCATCAGTGTTCATTGAGGAAGAGTCCGAGGGGGAGTCTGACGATGTCCCGGAGTCTCGCGTTTTCCACGTGTCGTTGGATGCTCCAAATGGCTCCCCAGTGGTGAGCGAGGGCACCATGGAGGATGCCATGGCACTGCTATCTGGCGAGCCACCCCTTACGGGCCTGCAGTTAATGGGCAGTCCTGGTTCTTCCAAGGATGTGCGATGCAAGGCCTCCCAGCAACGGCTGCTGTACTATACTGAGGAGTGCAATGAAGGGAGAGGATGGATCAAGGAACTATGTTTTAGCACCGATGGTAGACTTGTGTGTTCACCGTTTAAGGGTGGTGTCCGCCTCCTTGCCTTTGACGACGACTTCAAAGAACTCTGCGACTGTGTACCTGCTTCTCCACCTCGTGGCCTGGTTAGTGTGCTGACAAATAATTGCCACTCCAAATATGTTGTGAGCACCAAGTTCTCACCAACCCATTTCCTTCTGGCCTCTGGCTGCATGGGTGGACAAGTGTGCTTCCACCAGCCAGTGTTGTGAGTGCAATGCACCGCTAGTGTGTTTGTGTGTGTGGGGGGGGGGGGGGGGGGGGGCAGGAAGAGAAAGCATTGCCAACTGCAGGTCTGTGTGTGCAGTCCTAAGACAAGGACTGGGGGGGGGGGGGGGGGGCAGGAAGAGAAAGCACTGCCAACTGCAGTTCTGTGCGTGCAGTCCATGGGACACGAAGTTCAGTGTCACGCATTGTTCATTACCACTCTGTATATATAAAGTTCACAGAGACAAATAAAGGCTGCACATGTTGTCTGTACAGCAATCCTTTAGAACATAGTAGCCGACGTATGTAGAGTTTATTTGTCCACTTAGTTACAACAACTATCTTGGGGTGGCCCTTTCACACAAAAACAAGTAGCACAATGAGTAGCGCCCTGTGTCCAGCAGGTGCCACGGCAGCCTTGACAGAACACCTATATATCTATACATACAAGTCAATGAGCTCCATCTGCTTTCAGAGGATGGTGCAGCATTGATTGGTCTTGCGGGCCTGCAGAATGACACAGCCAGATTATAACACACATTCACTTACAGCTCCGTAGTTACATGTGCCTGAACACCTCAGCACAACCATAAAATTGGCTGGCTGTCATGTTAACTGCGAACAAATCTTTTGATTAAGTGGGTTCGTCTTCTATGGCACTTACATTCTCTTTTTTTTTTTGCAACCAAGTAGAATCAAACTCTATCAGTTGTTACACACACATCTCGAAACATGCAACTACTATAGCTACAAACAACTCGAATTCTGGAGAGACCCCGCCCAGACGACCGAAACGCAACTGAAGAAATAGTCCCGCTCATGCATTGTGCAATGTTCTCCGAAAGTGGGGTCCTGCCGGCTGTCAGGCTCATGGCATCAGCCCAGAGTGTGCGCTGGTTGGGGCAGGCTTGTATACATCAAGTGCATGTTTTGCAGGATGAACTGCCCAGTCTGGTAAGCGAACATCAAATGCACCACGAGTTGTACAGAAGGCAACACATGGTCCTTCACAGACAGTAATACTGTCTCAGAATACAAATGATAATAGGCATTAAGTTGCCGTGCTGTGAAAGTATAGGAGTCTTTCTTACAGCCAGAACCAGTGGTGCTCGAAGGTTTCCGTTAACTAAAAAAAAAAGTGTGTCCATTCCCTTTGTATTTCATCAAAATGCCGTAATTTGAAACTGGGGCGCAGTTTTACTAAATAAATAAGCAGTGTGTGTTTTCAGGTTCTCTGGCAAAAGTACCAGCCACGCTTAGACATTTAATGCACTCTTCACTAATTATATTGTGCACGAAATGTTTTAATGTCCCCACCTTTATTTTTTTTTCTTGTTTATGCTTATGCTCATAGAGTCACTTGCATGAAAAGCTGTGCATACATTTTCACAGAATCTGAGAAAACCTGTAAGAATGATATCCCTGCCAGTTTCACAGCTTTGAAAAAACTAAGATGAATTACCACTTCACCAATAAGAACCAGGTCACTTGGCAGGTATATTTCCATACATTAGATTCTGTGGGTATTTTCTTCCTGGCCACATGAAAAGTGGACGCTAGGAGCTTTTGCTACACATGCAAGTCGGCCTGGGTCTGCCGGCCGTTTAAGAGATTAATTTTTCTGCACATATTGTAAAATTCACAATGTAGCCTAGTCATTTTAAGGAGTGATTATGTTCTGAAGCCTAGTTCCAGGCAAAGCACCCAATGTGTGAAACCCAATGCGTTGCACTTGGCAGGCTAGTTCACTAGAAAGCTTGACTGTTAGATTGCAAAGGGATCACCAATGATATTCGATATCTTAATGTGCAGGTAGGATATAATGCAATAGAACATTCAGTACAAAAGGTTACATCTCTTGCAGCAGTTGCAACAGGCACATGTATTGCACTATTGTGGGCATGTAAGTACCCACAGACTATTGTAAAGCACTATAAATTAATATTTATCGCAGTGTATCACAAATTCAGCTCTGGACATCTGAAGTGACAACATAAAAAGCATACTTTTGCAGAATGCTAATTTACCAGTGTGTTAATACTTCAGTTGAGTGGAAGCCTCAATGTACCAAGAAATTTTGCATTTAACAGCTTGGCTCTATCAGCACTGAATGTAGCCAGCAACACGCTAGGGGAGTTTAGTATTCTATAGATTCTCAATACCTTATAATACTGAGCATGTGTACAAGAAGATTCACAATTACCTGCCTGTGTTTTTTTATAACTGATAGAAGGGAGCATGCAAGAGTCTCAGATAGCCTACTTAACAATTGGAGGGCACAAAATTGCATTTTACAGGCTTTGGCAAGTCATTTCATTATCCAAACAAAGCATTGTATTGAAGCCCATTAAGGTAGCATGCTGAAGAACTCCGAGATGCAGCTCTAAGCAGTAGCAAAAAGTTTAAAAGAGTTATGCACAGCATTAAAGATGCATTCGAACAGCCACCGTAATCGAAGTATTTTGTGCACCATCAAAAATATAAAATACAAGATTTACAATGAAGCATATATAAATGTACTTCTATTACAAAAAAAGAAAGTCTGGTTGGGGATATGAGAAGCAAGTAATAAAAAAGGGGCAAAAAGCTGCAATTGTGAACACCAGTGAGACACGAATCCCAGGTTAAAAGTGATACTATTTCACGCAAGGGTTGCTTCGATAAATTTGTTAAGCCAGTTGTCTGAAAGTAAGCCATAATAGCACTTACAGTCTTGTAAAATGTTTTTGACTGCATGCTCAGGTCTTCTGATTTTGCCACAAGGTCGTCCAGTTTTTCACCACGCTCCAAGACAGCTTCGATAGTATTGTGCTGCATGAAACGAAGTGGGTCATGTAATGCTGTCAAATAGCCACAGAACCAGACTCACCAAGATGATCTTGGTTTCGTCCAGGTCAGCTTGGATTTTGGTCATTGCATCAGCTTCTGTGGGGACCTTGGTAAAAAAAGAAAGTGAGCAGCGGTGCATGGCAAGTACACTAATAAAGTGTACACCAGAAAAGACACTCAGCAAATTACCTGGTACTTTGCCAGATAGGCCTCCAAGCCCTGGTACTGGCATGTGCTAAGAGAGTAGAGGAGGAGAGTATGAAAGATGAGAAAGTCCGCTACGCACCACATTACCTTTCAGATAGAGAAGACCACGTATGTGCCGGAACTTTTGAGGCAAAGTCATCCAGTACCTAGGGAGGGGGGAAAAAAGTACAGAACGGCGAGCTGCAAGAAGACGTAGGTACACAAGTTCTTGTTTTATTACACGCGACGCTATGAGAAAACGACGTCACAAGCTATGTGTAAACAAGCGATTCCACAAAGCTGGTGTTGCTCAGAAACATTACTTACCTTGTTGAGTAACGTGTGCGCCACTCGGCTCGGGTATTCGTGGTCAGAAACGACAACGCCGGCTAAGGAGTCGCTGCGAACGTAGACGTGGCACATGTATTCTGCGTGAGAGACGGAATGCCGATAAAACAACCGTTGGCACACGCAGTGTCACGCCTACCTCTCTCTCGTACAGATGACCGCGTCGCCACGCAGCTTCGAGACACTATGATTTGGCTGGAAAACTTGAGAAATTCAACGACACTGCGAAAAGAAAAATACTTGCATGTAGCTAGGCGCAGTGGATGCATATTCACATAATTCACTTGGGGCCTTCGTAACTCGACGACACGTATGTGACAAATTTTGACACATGGACGCAGCCGGTTCCACGCACCTCGATCGCTGGAAGAAGCTGAACGACGAAACTTCGCTCGCGCATTTTAAAATGACGCCTTTCGTTGGGTGCTTATACAATACGGATACGTGAAATAACTTGACCATACTGACGTTTTTTCCCGGATCTTCTGTTGGTCTGCAAAACAAGGAACACCAATTGGCATGAAGACAGCGCTGGGTAGGTCCGATTCGGTATGTTATCACCGCAAACTAGACTGCCACCAGATTGCATACCTATTCAATAAGGAGATTAAACAACGAGCAACCTGGCCTGACCTTTCAAGAGTATAACGTGCACTTTATCGCAAAACTAACTGCCTATTTCCCATAGCAGCGTACTCACAAGTACAAAAGTTTCCCTGACCAAATCGACGAGCTATCTTGGAGCGGAAAGCGGAAGTGAACTGATACCCTGGTATCCAGTTCTTGCTGCGTAATGACACATTTATTAGAACAATGTAATAAACCTTAATATTACTTTGGCTGTATTAAAAATTTGTATTTATTTGTGTTTTATATTATACAAATTGCTGTTGTGAAGAAGTTTTAGGCACGCATTTTGTGACAAGGTTCTGGAACGAGGGTTCACCGGCTTTCCTTCTTTCCGGTTGCTGCACAGCCGAAGTGAGTAGCAGATGTTTTCGCTGCGAAAATCGTTTTGAATCGCAGTATTTTGTCGCAAATATTGAGCAGCCTTACCACCGTTTGCGTGTAATAGAGTTCTATTTTAGCCATTGACGTGCTAATTTTTAGGTTTCTAGCAGTGCGAAGATTTTTAGACATTTTCAAGCAGGCACCATCATACGGTGTGTTGCCATTGCAGCGTTTTGACATTCTTGTTCTTTGTTGCAATTATTTTCTCATGTTGCGCTTCCTAACAATTATTTGGTGTCCTCTAGTTGCACGCGTTTCGCCTTCTGTACATTTTTCTGTAATGCCGTTCATTTTGTGAAGAATGAAATTACACGAGCACGTCTCCACTTTTGATAGCCATTGCTGTTCAGTTGTGTGTTGCAGCGTGTGTCACATTCGCTTATTTCATCTTTTATTTAGGCCTTAAAAAGACCACATGGCTAAGCTCAACCGCTTGGTGTCCTCTTCGCGGAGGAAGAATAGGAAAAGGCACTTCAATGCCCCATCACACATTCGGCGAAAGATAATGAGCTCCCCGCTGTCGAAGGATCTTCGGCAAAAGTACAATGTCCGCAGCATGCCCATCAGGAAGGACGACGAAGTTCAGGTAATTGTGTTCACTGCTTCTTTCAACTCAACTGCCCCCACGTGCTGAATTTCGTGTTCACCACTGGGGGTGGTAAAAGCATACCTTCTTACACGAGGTTATCTTGCTTCACACCACCAGCGTTCTTAATAAGAAAGGCAAATGCATGGTGCTTTCACACTATATGAGTTCGAAAAATATTCTTAAATGTTGCAGTCAAAAGGCGCAGGACTAACCTTGGGGCCGCATGAAACGCGGCTCGCCATCAGTATTATACGATTAGAGTATCTTAATGCAGTTAAAAGAAGCTGAGTAATTTTACCAGTGTGCGGCCACTTTCGGTGGTATTTGTGGTGGAGTGCTCTTCGTGTTACGACAAATTTGGTGACTAAAGTAGGTAGTCTGTAGTCTGGCCAGATTACCTGCTTGGTCTACCAGTTCGTATGTAGTCTGGTACAGTTTAAAAGGACAGGAGAGGCACAGCCATAGAAGTGCAGCAACTGATTGCCTTTGCAACTACTGCTCACATGTTTGGCACTGTTCATCAATTGCAGAGTCCAAGTCGTTGAGGCATTAGTCGGTCATATATATGTACTCATTAGTGGAGGCATAGTCTATTACCATAGTGGGCTTGTGATCATCTGCCTTCGAGGGCAAAATGCTGCGACTTTCTGAAGGTGTGTGTACTGGGTTATAGTGATCATCTGTACATACGCTTGCAGAATAATTCGGAATGCAAACAAGCAGCGGCTTGCTGGTGGAGCGCACCGGCCGATATTCAAGCAGGGTCTGCATATGTGCAGTCTGCCTAGAGAGCAAGTTTATCTCCCTGATTCATCTAGATTGGCATTGCACCCTGGTTCATCTAGATTGGCATTGTCTTGCTCCAAAAAGGTAGTGCTAGGTGCTCTTAAGCCGATGGAGACGGAAATGCTGAAGGGTTGTGTGCTCAGATTTGGGTGCACGTTGAAGAACCCCAGGTGGTCGAAATTTTACTCCGCTACGGCGTCTCATAATCATATGGTGGTTTTGGGTCGTTAAACCCCACCTATCAATCAGGTGCTCTTAGGCGAAATGACGAGGGTGGATAGAGAGGCTTGTAACGTGCCGCGCACAGCAGTTCATGAATATGAAGACTGGCCGTTACCTTGCAGTGTGTTATTGCAATTATCTGCATCCAAGTGCTATTCTGGGAGACTACATGACAGTAAGCCGGCATGGCTACGTTAGTCTGTTTTCTGAACTATGGGTATTATTTGCCTTATATCCCAATCAGTGTTTCTCCTACCTTGGTTATACGAGGGCCAGTGTTCTCCCCAGAAAATTTTGAGAAGTTGACTGGAAACGGGGGGTGTGTCATATGTGCATTAATGGAATAATGAAAACACAAAATGCACTTCAAGCAGGAGGGGTCATATTGATTGATATGTGGAGTTTAACGTCCCGAAACCACCATATGTTATGAGAGACGCCGTAGTGGTGGGTTACGGAAATTTCGACTTCCTGGGGTTCTTTAACGTGCACCCAAATCTGAGCACACGGGCCTACATTTCAACCTCCATCGGAAATGCAGCCGCCACAGCCGGGATTTAATCCTGCGAGTCAGCAGCCGGAGCACCTTAGCCACTGGACCAACGCAGCGGGACGGGGGACGGGGGGTCATATTATTGTGAACTCAATGACAATGGAACAGCTGAGGTTCAAGTGCAACAACGAAACACGAGAAGGCACTTTTATTTCCACTTCTTCCCAGACACGCTACACCTTCAGCCTCTGATTCTTACTCTTCGCCCACGTTTCAGCAAACTTGTCGTATGGGTAGGTGTCAACGTTGGGTCCTTTGCATGCAATACGAATAAGGCAGTCCCGTGACTCTTCTTTCAGGTGGTCTATTAGTTGTCTTAATTAGCTTCAGAGTGCTTTCAGGTGGTCTATTAGTTGTCTTAATTAGCTTCAGAGCTGAAGTTGCATCCAGTCTATAGTGTGGGGGGAGTACAAAGTAGGAACCTGCTAAATAAGCCGTGACAAGAAACAGCTCTTTCACATCATGTGCCACAAAAAGCAAAAAGTCTGTAGCTGTCAGCTTTTGTAAATGTTCACATTCAAGCACCAAGTTGACAAAAGCAATCCACTCTGTAAGCATCTACTCGGTATATTGCTTACCAAGAGTTGGGCACAGCCTCTTCAGTGCATTGATAATTTCAATTCCATTGCCACCAACAATTTCTTTGCAGCTGCTGCGGGCAAACAGTAGAATAGCTGGCCAATATAGGGTGGTCCTGAAACCTGTCCTGGATATTTTCCAGCAGCTTCTTGACAAATTCTCTTTTCGTGCTATGGAGTCGCAGGTTCCTGTGTGATTGTATGTCGGGGCAGACACGAAAATCCTTAACTTGTCTGGATGTTTCATTGAGTTTTCAAGGTTTTTATGCATGTTTTGATAAGTCCTTGTATTAGGTCTGCATGCAGAGATGTCTGGAGAGTTCTGGAAAACCTGTTGATTGCTAGAAGCTCGCACATCATCCACATCGCACATCATCATCAGTAGGGTCCCAAGAAACTTTCCATTTGTACTGAACTTGAGAAGTCCTGCTGCCTTGATGTCACTGTTTTTCTGCCTCCCTAAAGAGGCTGATGATAATGGCCGAGATATTGTGGACAGCTGTGCATGACACACCAACACTCTGCCACCGTGTGGCAGATGACATGAGTTTCCCTTCACATTGCTCAGACTCCAAAATGTTCTGCATAGCACTCAGCCCAGCTGTTCGAACTGAGCTGGATGCAAAGAAGTTCTACAGTTGCTGCAAACGTTCTTTAGGCTGCCATACTGCTAGGTTGAGCTTGTGTGCCACACAGTGAACCCCTACAGCCTGAAAGTTCTGGGGAGCTGTTAGAGCTTTTTGCTTGTCAGTCAGTAACTTCACAGCTCCCCCCCCCCCCCCGCCCCTTTTTTTCATGTCCTAACTGGTGTGGCTTCATTTCCTATTCCGCAAATGGTACTAAAGAGTAGGCCCATCTTAGTACAGTGGAAGCCCTTTTATCGGTGCAAATGGGCAGTCTCATTGCCATAGCTATCGAGTTATGGCAGCGTCCATGCTTGCTGAACAGCGGTAATTTCTGGTGGTGCCAACGCGTGTTTTAGACTTCGTCGACGTATTTTCAGGCTCTGAAAATGCATCGAAATATTAGGTTGGGTTTACTGTATAGCCGCAGATGATCCGAAGCTGATGTTCAGTTGCTTTTAGTTCATGGTTTCCTTCGCGCAGCTGCTGGGTGCATCTGCGGAACGATGCCAGCGCGTGTTTTAGACGTCGACGTATTTTCGTATTCCGAAAATGCATCGAAATGTTAAAGATTGGGGTTCCTGTATAGCAATAAATATCTGAGCCTGAAATCTCATCGTGAAATTTCGTTGAAGTGGGACGGCAAAAGAAAGTGTTCGTTGTGGCGACAATATTTGTGCATTTGACTCCTATGGACTGCTAATGGGAAACCATGAATTTTTCGTTGTAGCGGGAATTTCGTTGAAGCGGCGTTCGTTGTAGCGGGGTTCGACTAATAAAATCAACAGCACAAGTAAAGTTGGTGGCATTGAGGGGTATTGATTGCTCCTTCGTCACCTGGGTGTAGTTCGTGGTTGCCAAGTACATCAATCATGGTCAAGAATTTAATTTTTAATTCCCCACCAAAAATGTACTAGCAGTGGATGACCAGCTGCTCCACAGTTGCACATTCGGTCGTTTTTGAGCATAAGAGCATAGTGCTCACTCTGACGACGTTCGCATAGGATTCATTTTCAATAACATCCGACAGGCAGCTGAATTGATCTCTGGCTCTTGTACGTTGCATTCTTACAGGCTGTTATTTAAGCTTTCACATGAAGCCCAAGCAGAGACAGCAGACCGAGAAGCAGCTCAAAGTGTGTTGTGTCCGGTTTGCACAAGTAATGCATTGATGCAAATGCATGCTTGCCTGGTGGTGTTGCGGGAGACTGGGCACTGCACTTTTTCAAGTGGCGACACGACAAGCTTGCTATTTGCCTAAAACATCATGGCGTCACGGGGAAGCTGGCACGTATCATGTTTACAAACACTGTTAAGCTGTATTCATTTGCATGGTTCATTCCATACGAACCTCTCTAAAGGCCTGTTGTATTGCAAAACACCTCACCTTTGCTGTTGTCGTAAAAGAGCCGAAGTGAGCAAGAACAGGTCCTAAACACGAAACTAATCGCAAATTATCGGAGTCAGTAAGGTAGCGTACGCGTGTGCACTAGAGGCAGACGATCAAATGCAGTCGGTGGCCGGCAAAGTTGGCAAATGGTCTGGTCACTCCAGGCCGGCGACGCCAACAACAGTAGCAGCGATCAAAAACAGGGGAAATGGTCGAGCGGTCTTCGAAAGATCGGTGGCAGTGTAAAAACACGGGCCTCGTCTTGCGATGCGGGGTGCTCAGAGTAGCGGGGGGACAAAGGACGGAGGGGTGCGTAACAAAAAGCAGTAGGGGAGAGCGGCAACAGGAGGAGCGTGTAGGCAGGCTCTCCGATTAACAATAAGAATGTATGGGCACCTCGCGGATGCTTGATCGGTGGTCGAAAGTGGTTTCCCGGGAAATCGGCAGAGCGCTGACCCCGTTCGCTGTAACTGATCTGCGTAACTCGGAAACGTTCATTGTAAGTGCGATATGGTACCATTGAACAAGTGTATATTTTCATGGTCACGCAGATATTGTTTATTTTAAGCGAAAGTTCGTTTTAAGTGGGGCCATTATATGTGGGCTTGACTGTAACTCCGGTTGCGTAGTGTAGTGTACACGTATCCCGAAGGATTACAGCCACTAGCGTGGGTTTGGTTTTAGTGAGCCACAGGGCATGCGAACACGATACTGCTCAAGGTCACAACACTTAATTGCCTGTGGCAACACCAAAACCGCATTACAGAGCCTGTTGCAAAAGGGGCGGTGGGAAAGCAAGTGGGCTTATCCATGCCATGGGCGAGAAGTACTACACAGGGGGCCGT